CCCCCCCACTGACTTGTAATGCCACCTTCACTACACGCAAGATTACCATATGTTCTTGGATCGAGTTCTGGATTTTCTCTTCTGTTCCTTGATGTCTTGTCATTTTCCTGTCAGTATCCTCCTACTGAAGTGTGTGGTGCTGTAGGATAAGCACTCAACCACAAGGTCGGTGGTTCAGACTCATCAGCCACTCCTTGGAAACCCTATACAGGATCACTATGAGTCGGAATTGACTTGACGGCACTTAACAACAACACTCTCCTACTTAATGACTGTCAATTTAGAATATTTAATATCTGGAAGGGCTAGTCCCCTGCATACATAATTACTTGTTATCCTTCTTAGGGATTTTATTTTAGAAAATTCTTGATGTACATATTATTATCTTCAGATTGAAACTTCTGCTCAGAATGAAGGCATCGTGTCCAATGTGTCCAGCCTCCCCTCAGTCATTCCCATCTACCAGATGCTGCTCCCCTCCTATCCCTTCCTGGGGTTCCTGCCTCATGGCAGCTTGCTGACTTGAGCACCAGCCCCTTTGAGCTCTACCTTCAGCTGCTGTGTCCTTTCATCAAATAATCCTTCCTTGAAATAAGCCTCAAACAGTGGGAGGTGGTTTGGGGAGCAACTGCTAAGGAGGTTTCTTTTGGGGGTGGTAAAAAGGTCCTGGATTTAGGTGGCAGTGATGGCTGCACAAGCTCGTGAATGTCCTGAAAACCACCACCATGCACTGGAAAAGGGCCAAGCATATGGTGTGTGGTTACCGCACAAAACCCCAACAAGCTCCGCACAAGAGTCATATGGTGGAGAGCTCAGCTCAAGACAGTTTCTTAGATAGAAAACTGATTACTGAACATTCTGGCAGTTGAGACAAAAGAGGAAACCCAGTGACTTTCAAACCTTAAAAAAAAAAGTCACCAAGCAGGAAGGACAGATTTTTTTTTTTTTAACACTGAATCAGCGAACAGTCATCATGTGTTGTTGATAACACCACTTTTAACGTCTGTGGAAGCTGCTCATCTAGAGTTCTGTTCACTCTGGTCCTGGGGTGTCTCCAGATGTTCTCAGGAGATGCTCTCAGTCCAGTTGGGTCACGCTCTGAAACATCAAGCTTGCTCTTGGGTTGACATGCTTTTTTGTTGTCTCTGATATCTCCACCTAAATAACTTATAGTCCTAATTGATTGTGTCCTAGCGACGTGCGGCTACTTGAGCTCGTTTGCCTCTTCCTCCCCAAACAGAGCCTTGGGGCTTCCTTTATAGAATTTCCAGAGCCAGTCAGAAAGCTCTGGGTCATCCAGCCTAGATAGCAGACCACAGGCTGCCTAGATTCTATCAGGAGATGATCTACTGGGCCTTATCGTCTGGACCAGATGCTCGTCTGCCTGGGACCAGTGAGGTTTCCTTCCGCCTGCTTCAGAGATGGGCGTGCCTTTCATTCAGAGAATCTTATTTCGGTCCCTGTTTCCTGTGTCACCTGCAACATGAGGAGAAATACCTTGCATTACTTGGGCCTCTGCTTTTGGCCCATACTCCCAGCGCCCACAGGTAGCTCTGGTCCTGGTGGTTGACACAGTTTGGAGAAGTTGGCACCCAAGTGGTGAACCCCTGCTGTGGTCCCTGCTTGTGTGAGCCTTCTGCAACTTTGGGAAGACCAGTGGGCCAGGGTGAAAAGCAGGTTGGGTAGGGGTTTGCATGGAGGGATGGTATAGAAATCAGACTGGGAAGGCTATTGGTCAAGGGCCTTATACAATTTCCATTTGATCTTCAATGGAATATACTGGAAGGTACATATACTGGAAGCTATTTCCTGGGCACCAAGGTGGGGAAGTGACCCATTCAAGGCCACATAGCTAGTAGGTCTTGAGCTGAAACAAACTTCTGCTTCATGCCTTTTACTCCAGTGCTTTCTACTGAGAATCATGAGATTGGGTTTTGTTACTTACCCATAAGTACTCACTGCCCATGGAAAGTAGGGCACACCCTGCTCCCATGCTCCACATACGTGTTCAGCACCCACATCAGTAGGAAGAGTCCTCACTCGTCTGTGCCTTCCTCTGGAGACTGTTAGCCTTACTGCTTTGAAGTGTTGGCGTCAGAGGCACACCTGTGCTTTGTTCCTGGACATGCAGCATCTGGTCAGGTTCTGTGGACCCTTCCCTTAGACCTGAGCTCATGGCGGTCATCTGTGGCTCAGTGTAACCCACAGATTGACTTTTGTGGGCTGGTGAGTGTCGGCCTTCATATGAGAGGTCACAGCTTTACAAAGTCAAATGCCAACATTTAACAATCAGGAAACTCTACACAAGAATCAGAATTCCAGCTTTTCTAGAAAAGTCAGCTCTCCCAGTCCTGGGACCCCAATCCTCCAAGGCAGTAATTTGTAGGCAATGAATGGCAGCTGCCTCCTTAGATGTGGCGTGGTCCCTTTGGTTCCATGCACCATTTTCCCTTTGTTCTCTGTGCCTCAGATGCCATTGTCAGGCAGTGTTTGGAACTTGCACTGTTGGAATTTTTTATTATTTGATATATTTTTATTCCATGATATACCTGCTTGATTCCTGTTGATGGTCCTTAGTTTAGACACTCATCCTTTGACAAAGGCCATCTGGATTATTTATGTGTCCACTGAACACAGTTCTTTAGAACTGTGGGAAATCCTGCCCATGCCTTCCAGGCTGGGTTTAAATGCCCGCTGTGTGGCGAGCTTTGCCCGTTGCCAGACTGTGGGTTTGCAGAGCACTTTGTTGTACCTTTGTTATGTCCCTAACCCTGACCTGTCACAGTTCATACATGATCTGATTCCATCCTTTGAGGACACTCATGACGAAAGTCACATGTGGTCATTGTCCTTGTGCCACTCTGCTGAGCACACTGCTGTTGTCTAAATGTCTTTTCATTCAGATTCCCGGAGTGTGTTGCTAAGCGTGATGGGCAGGAACTCCTGGGACATGAAACCAGCTTGCTCTTAAGGGTCCTTTCCAGAATGAACAAGTCTAAGTGATTGGATTGGGCTTGGGCTTCTGGAATGAATCATTTCTCACCTCCCTACCATGAGGAAAGGTTCAGCCTTTCTCAGAGTTTGACAGTTGACACTAGAGATGACAGACTGAAAAGCTAATACATCCTTTAAGAGACAACCGTGCCAGTCTGTGCACTGGGAGGCTGTGTGGACAGGGAAGGCCTCCAGGCCTGCTGCGTTTTGTGTGTAGTGGACACTCGATGACCATGTGCTGGTTTTTACTTTTTTAAACAATCTTGTTATTGTTGTTAAGTGCCATGAGTCAGTTCCAAGTCACAGCAACCCTTTGCAGGGTTTCCATGGAGGCTTTGAGCTGCTGACCTCATGGCTAGCAGTCCACTGCTTATCCTATATCTTTATGTTATGCCATATAATCATGCCTTATCCACATGCTATGCCATATAATACATGTGGTGGTTGTTGTTTTTAAGTGCCGTCGAGTTAGTTCTGACCCATAGTGACCCAAGGAGCGACTGGTGAGCTTGAACCACTGACCTTGCAGTTCACATGGCTTTGCAGTCTGGTACATTAACCCGCAGCGCCACACCAGGACTCCATCTAATACATATAGCAAAATATAGAGAGAAAATATGTTGTTGTTAGGTGCCATTGAATCAGTACCAACTCTTAACAACCCTCTGCACAACAGAACGAAACACTGTCCGATCCTGGGCCAACCTCACTATTGTTGCAACGCTTGAGCCCATTGACGCTGCCCCATGGCCAGTCCATCTCATCTTCCTCTTTTTCTCTGACCCTCCACCTTACCAAACATGATATCCCTCTCCAGTGACTGGTCCCTCCTGACAATATGTCTGAAGTATGAGGGATGAAGTTTGGCCATCCTGGCCTCCAAGGAGCATTCTGGCTGCACTTCTTCCAACACAGATCTGTTGGTTCTTCTGGCAGTCCATGGCACTTTCAGTATTCTCCTCCAACACCATAACTCAAAAGCATCAATTCTTCTACGGTCTTCCTTATTCACTGTCCAGCTTTCACATCCATATGAGGTTACTGAAAATACCATGGCTTGGGTCAGGCGCACCTTAGTCCTCAAGCTGACATCTTTGCTCTTCAACACTTTAAAAAGGTCTTGTATAGCAGATTTGCCTAATGCAATACGTCGTTTGATTTCTTGGCTGCTACTTCCATGAGTGTTGATGGTTGATCCAAAGTTTCCATTCTAAACATTTGTAAGATTCAGTGACATTACTTATATTCCCCCTGCTGTGCATCCATTACTGTTATCTATTTTGGAATGTTTTTAGTCACCTACACAGAGGAGCTCTGGTAGTGTAGTGGTTACGATTCGGGCTGCGAACCACAAGGTCAGCAGTTTGAAACTACCATCTGTTCCGCGGGAGAAAGATGAGGCTTTCTGCTCCCGTAAAGATTTATAGCCTCGGAAACCCTGATTCCATGGCACATAACCAACCAGTCAACCAATCAACACAGACACTCAGTACCCCTTAAACAGAACCCCCACTCTCCCCTTGCCCAGTCTCTGGTACCCATGCATAACCTTCGGCCTCTGTGCATTTGCCTAGCCTAGATATTTCATATGAGTTGTTGTTAAGTGCCTTCGAGTTGGTTCCGACCCATAGCGACCCTGTACAGGATTTCCGAGGCTGTAAATCTTTACGGGAGCAGAAAGCCTCATCTTTTTCCCGCGGAACGGCTGGTAGTTTCGAACTGCTGTCCTTAAGGTTCGCAGCCCGATTCGTAACCACTAAGCTACCAGAGTAGGGTTATACAATAGCTGTCTAGTTGTGTCTGACTTACTTCCCTCAGCATACTGTTTTCAGGGTTCACTCTTGTCGCAGCCTATTTCTCTTTGGAATATTCCCGAGTAACAGTCCATTGTATGTGCGTATACCACGTTTTGTTGGTCTAGTCATCTGTTGGTGGACACTGGGTTGTTGCCACCTTTGGCTCTGGTGAGTAATGCTGCAGGGAATGCGGGTTTTCAGATCTCTATTGGATCCCCTGCTCCCATGCCCTTCACATGCATATCTACAAGTGGAATTGCTGGGTTATATGGTAATTCTTTGTTTACCCATTTGCTGTTTTTCATTGAAGGATGTAGGTAGTTTATCTCATTTAGGTACAATGAGCATAATCGTAGGGTTGAAGACAAAAGTAACTTTTACCATTAAGAGGCAAAGCTCAGAATCAAATCTGGTATATCTGATTTAAAGAAAAAGTACTAGAAGTGCTAAGAGTTTGAAAAACAGCCATCTGTTTTCACAATTAATCTTACTGTGTTAATGATGATGTGGATAAATCCACTTGCAGCCGCGCCCTTTCTGAAAGGAGTTGTTAAGTGCTGTGGAGTTGGTGACAACTTGCTTTAGGACAAGCATTGAACTGGGACTCTCAAGGTCGGCAGTTCAAATCCACCAGCTTATCCTCAGAAATATAGGGCTGCTGTGAGTCGGAACGGATTCGATGGGACTTAACAACAAAAGGGCTTCTGAGGAGTGACTGGTGGGTTTGAACTGCTGACCAGGCGATTACTTCAGTGCTTCTCCTATGGCGCCACACCAGGCCTCCCTGACTGCAAGAGACCTTTCTGTCTGAAAGAAGCATTTGCAAGGTAGCTGCTTCTCCTCTGAGCAGGAAATCACACAGGGTCCTCAGAACCCAGGAGGATGTAAACTTCCTGTCGGAGGATCACACAACACCTTTGAGAGGAAGGTGAGTGTCATCCAAATACGATTGGGCCACAAGAAAGACTGCATACACATTATTTTGAACTATGGAAAGGCATTCATAAAACTCATTAAAAAAAAAAAAAAGCAGGGTCTAGAACAGTTGTTGTTGTTGTTGTTGTTAAGTACCGTGGAGTCGGTTCCGACTCATAACAACCCTGTACAGGGTTTCCGAGGCTGTGAATCTTTACAGGAGCAGAACGCCTCATCTTTCTCTCGTGGAACAGCTGGTAGTTTCGAACTGCTGACCCTGAGGTTCACAGCCTGATTGGTAACCACTATGCGGTGGAGTCGGTTTCGACTCATAGGAATCTGTTTAGGGTCTCCAAGGCTGGAAATCTTTCCGGGAGCAGAAAGCCTCATCTTTGTCCCACGGAACAGCTGGTAGTTTTGAACTGCCTACCCTTTCTGAGAAATCAGAAATCTCATGTGCACACATTCATCCATAGAAACTTGCAGGGAGAAACGCGAGCTGGGGTGACGGAGTGTTGGATCTTTTTAGCTTTTTTTTCTTTCTGCTTAGTGTTTTCTGACTTTCTCCCATGACTGCGTATTGCCTCTGTCACCCCCCAGTGATCACATGGAAGTTGGCACACACACACACACACACACACACACACACACACACACACACACCCCAGCTCACTCGTGAAGCCTTGGTGGTTGCTGAACTCAGCCCGTCTATTTGGGTCTGTGTGTAGAGCCTGAGACCAGACGAGGTGGAGGTGACATGATAGAAAACGGGTTCTCATTTCTGAGGAGCCTGGCAGCTTTGTGCGCATGCGTAAACCGAGTGGGGTCCAGACTGCTCCGCCGGCCGGATATTAGCAGGCCCCCGGGCTTCATTTTGTCTGCTCTAATCAGCATCGTGGTGTCTACAATTATTAGTTTTTCTAACATTTGACTGATAACAATACTGATAAGGTGTCCCTTTCATAAATTTACAGGCGTTGCTTTCTTGCCAGCTAGCATCTCTTATCTCATTGGAACCAATATTTTTGGGATACTCGCACACAAAATGGGAAGGTAAGATGAAATGAAAACCACATGCATCCCTTGGACTTCTAATACTGTAACTGTCATTGTTAGTAATGTCCATTCTAACTCATAGCGACCCCATGCGACAGGGCAGAATTGTCCCAGAGAGTTGTTTGGGCTGTGCTTACTATGGTTGCTGAATGCCAGATTTTTTTTTACCCATGGAACCTCTGGGTGGGTTTGAACCATCAACCTTTATAAATTAGCATCAGAGCGCTTAATCGTTGTGGCACCCAGGAGTCCTAAGAATGTACTTAAAATTTGAAGTGTTTCAACCTTAGCTATTTGTTTTGATTTCTACTGAAAATGTGGATGGGGGATAAAATTAAACAAATCACCTGTTGATGGGATTTTTCTTTTGCTAGGTGGCTTTGTGCTCTTCTGGGAATGACCATTGTCGGATTCAGCATCTTATGTGTGAGTAAAGACAGGACCTAGAAAATGGAAACAGGCTGTGAATAGAACATTTGCCTTGGACATGAGTCACCAAGCAACATTTTGCAGCAGTTAGAAGTTTGTCACTGTTCAGTTTTATTGCATCTTTCAATTTTGTCTAATTATTTTCCATCTTATGCATTTGGGGCACTGTTCTCCAGAGTCCAAATTGTCACTGTATGTCAGTTAAAAGCTATTTAGAACGGTGTGTTCCATATTTAACTTTTACTTTCTTCTTCTTTTTTTAAGAAATCATCTTAAACTGTGTAATGCCCTAGACACTTTACAATATCTCGCATGTCACAATAGCGAGTTGTTTTTCTAAAATAAAGCTATTTTCTACTCAAAATGAGGCCTTCTTGACCTTGTTAGAAATTGGGCGCAGACTAAGATGATCTTTTTTTTTTTTTTTTTTTTTTAAGTTTTTATTGTGAGGATTACAGGGGAGAACATCAGCTTTTCACTCTTCCTATCGTATTTTGTTTCATTGCAATGATTACAGTCCCCTCTATGCATCATCACATAACCAAAGGGTACACCACACAGGCCCTCCCCCCACCCCCGGCTTTCTCCTTCCCTGAGTCCACTGTCCCCAGCCGCTCCATCTGTCCTCGTCATCGTCTCTGCCGCCATCCCTGGCGTCACTGCCTCTCTAGGTAGGGTCCTGCTCTCTGTTCTCACTTGATTGTCCCAGGGACCTCTGCTCCTGGGCTGCAAAATCAATCACTCCCCTCCTTTTGTCAAAAAACATCTACCTCTATATTTCCTACCCTCAAGTCCTGATGGCAATTATTCACTATTGTACCACAAGAGTCTTATCTCCATTTCCCTTTGCCAGCCCGGTCCCAACAGATTAGAAATCATTCAGTGGAGATTCTACCTTCCCCCACCCCATCTGGAACTAGGGTCCCTCTTGAAAGCTTGTAAGCCAGTCACTTCTTGCCTTTACAGGCACCCCATTTTGGGTAGCCAATGTCTAAGTTGCCCATCCCTGTCAATCCTGTGTGCCACTAAGCTGATCTTTGATGTATGGAGTTGGCTTGGTATTGGGGGGGGGGCATCTAAGATCCCTTTTAACCTTGACTAATAGCGTAGTGGTTACGAATCGGGCTGCGAACCTTAAGGTCAGCGGTTCGAAACTACCAGTCGCTCCGCGGGAGAAAGATGAGGCTTTCTACTCCCGTAAAGATTTACACCCTCGGAAACCCTGTACAGGGTCGCTATGGGTCGGACCCGACTCGATGGCACTTAACAACAACAACAACAACAATAAAGATGTGGAAGGTCCAGGTCTCCCTCAGGTCTCTCTGTCTCCTACCTCCTCCCATTTCCTTCAGCAGGGAACAGACATTCCAAGCCCAGAGAAGGCATATTTTTAAGAATCTCCAACCTGACTCTATCACGTTGATTTCTTCTTGCAGATTCCTTTTGCAAAAAACATTTATGGACTCATTGCTCCTAACTTTGGAGTTGGTTTTGCAATTGGTAAGTCATGTGACCCTTGTGTCTACATTTGAAAACAGTTTTCCCCATTAGTGGGAAAGATTTTCTTCTACTCTGGCTGACTGTTGTCGTTGTGAAGTGCCGTCAAGTCAGTTCCGACCCATAGCCACCCTATGTAAGGGTTCCGAGGAGCAGCTGGTGAGCTTGAACCGCCTGCCTTGAAGTTCAAATGGCTTTACAGTCTGGTGCATTAGCCCACAGCGCCACACCAGGACTCCCTGGAAGTCTAGAGAGAGCCCAAAATTTCCTCTAGAAGAGGAAGCTGTGGGCAGCTTAACTCAAGTGCACTTTAGAGATGGCCCACATAAAGAGACCTGCTTCCATCTCGTAGTACATCCAAACCGGCCCCCTTGAAAACCAGCTTTCTAAAAAGCGTGAGGGTTATAGAAGTAAACTGTTAGTCCATGCTGAGCTTGGGTAAGCAAGAAAATCCCTCAGAGTCATTTGTTTGTGCCTCGCTTTGTGAACAGAGAGCTCTGTGTCCCTTTCATAAAAAGGGACAAAAACTTCCCATCTGGTTTGATAGATTTTATAGGGTTTGGAACAAAATGCCCATCTGTGTGGTGGGAATTTTCAGACAAAGAAGAAGTCTTTGAAATGTGAAGAACAGTGACCAGTATATCAGGAGAACGTTTGTTACTATTTGGATGATTAGTTTGCCTTTCTCAACTATAATATACAGATTGTTGTTGTTGTTATGTGCCGAGGAGTCGGTTCCGACCCATAGTGACCCTGTATAGGGTTTCCGAGGCTGTAAATCTTTACGGGAGCAGAAAGCCTCATCTTTCTCCTGTGGAGCAGCTGGTAGTTTCGAACTGCTGACCTTGCGGTTCGCAGCCAGATTTCGTAACCACTACGCTACCAGAGCTCCTTAATATACAGATTAGTCATGATAAAAGCACCTGTTAAATCGATCGCAGGATCAGAGTGGGAATCTCACCCTTGAATCGTGCAGCCAAATGCGGGATGGAGCCTTTTCTGAGCCCTCCACACCAGGATCGTTCCCTTAATGTGTATGTAGACACACATGCATATAGGAGGGGCTTCAAAAAGTTAGTGGGAAAAAATCCATTGCTTTAAAATTCCATTTGAAGACCCTCATATATGTATGTGCATATCATGTGTTTATATGTATGCATGTGTGTATGCATGTATATACATGTTGTGTGCTGTGGAGTCAGTTCCAACACATAATGATCCTGTATACCTACACATACACATATACATGTTGTGGTTAAGTGCTGTCAAGGTCGTTCCGACTCATAGCGACCCTGTATAGGATAACTGAGGAGGTGGGTTTGAACTGTTGACCATCCAGTTCAAATTGACCTTGTGGTCCTGTGCTTATCCTATAGCATCCCACCAGGACCCTTGACAATATATATACATGGACTGGGTCATAAGCAGTAGGATAAGCACTGGACTGTTTACCACAAGGTCAGTTCAGGTTCACTATGAGTTGGAACTGACGCCATGGCATTTAACAGCAACATACATACATCATGTTGTTGTTATTAAGTGCTGTCGAGTCACCAGCTGCTCCTTGGAAATCCTGTTCAGGATCACTGTGAGTCAGAACCAATCTGATGGCACTTGACAACACACACACACACACACACACATATCCTCCCACAGTATCGTAACATTGTAGCACTGATTCGATGGTAATTACATTTTCAACTCTCTGCTTAATGTCTAGTTCTTGTGTGAATTTTGCCCACCCCTGTGTCCCCAGCAAATACTAGATGAATGAAAGGCATTTCACCTGTCTGCCTGCTTCTTATACATGTCGGGGTGAGGGAGTAAACTCTGAGTACCCCTCTGGTGTGTACAGAGACACTGTCTCCTTTTAGCCACTCCTCATACCCATTTTACAGATGAGGAAACTGAAGTTCAAAGAGATTAAGCATGAACTGAAACCCTAAAAACCAGGTGCTTTTTTTTATGCTACCTAGTCTGACTGTTATAGAGTCCTGATGTGGTACTGCAGGATCAACCCTGGACCACAAGGTCAGTTTGAACTGCAAGGTCGGCAGTTCAAATCCACCAGTTGCTCCTTGGAAACCCTACACAGGGTTGCTATGGGTTGGAAATGACTCAATGGTACTTAACAACAACAACAATCTTGACTATTCAGGAGACCAGAGATTCTAACCCTGCATGCTTTATTTTGTTTTGTTTTCTCTTAAGGAAATAAGCAAGCCTTTTTTGGGTCTTCATTTCCTGTCTAGAGCCAGATAATCTCTCAGGTCCCTCTCCGAGCTTATTTAGTTTTTTCTAACTTGGGAGGTCTCATGAGTGTGAGGCTGATCTAGGGATGGAGAGGGAACTGGGTGAGGAGTGTGGATGTGTCCACTCTTCATGCGCAAGGAAAGCAGGTGGACAGTCAGGAATCAGGAAAGTGCAAAGAGGAGCAAGTCTGGGGTTCACGCCGCCTGGAATGAGCTACTCCCTGGAGCTGAAGAGTGGTAAGGGGAGTCATGTTACCACTGGACTGGGTGCCTTCAACCAAAGGATGGGCCGGTCAGTCAGTGGAAGACCCCCCGCGAGCCAAGGTGGTGGCCTGGTAAAGGCTGGCCTAACAGGTATTCCAACTGCGGTACAGGGCTCCACTCCCAACCCAAAGTCTAGCCTTACGACTAGTAAGTCGTGATGACAAGAGGGAACAAACTGGCTGAATAGTGAGCTTTGGACACAGTCCCATGACATTCAGTCCATTCTTGGTTCATACCAGCTTTCTATAGACTGCATTTTTTGATTGCCCACAGGAATGGTGGACTCTTCAATGATGCCCATCATGGGTTACCTCGTCGACCTGCGACACGTATCCGTCTACGGTAGTGTGTATGCCATTGCAGATGTTGCATTTTGTATGGGATATGCCATAGGTAAGGATATTGGCTTTTCCAAAGACCCTTATGCCTCAGTGCATGACAGCTAATGCACTTTAAAACAATTAGTTGCATCTTTCTAGCTACAAGGCATTTGGAGAGAGCATTATCTAATTCTCTGTTTCCTGTAAGGTCCTTCTGCTGGTGGGGCTATCGCCAAGGCAATTGGATTTCCATGGCTTATGACCATTATTGGAATTATTGATATTCTTTTTGCCCCTCTCTGCATTTTTCTTCGAAGTCCACCTGCCAAGGAAGAAAAAATGGTAAGACAACCTTAGGATGCAATGTAGTATTTCTTCTTGATCACTTCAGTGTGGTTTTCCAGGTAGCTTCCTCATGGTTTACTTCTAAAACATGTTGAAACATGAATGGCAAGAGTTTCACCTTACTTTGTATTTCTTTTATCATTTTGGACATTATATTTGTAAATTTGAAGTGTGAAGTTATTTTATTTTTTTAAACTTTTTATTGGGATTTGAGGGGATTACAGAGTTTTACACTCTGTATCATTAATTTTACACTCAACACATCCGACACTTTGTTTCATCTCAACGATTGCAGTCTCCTCAATATAACTTCACTTATCCTTCCTCCTCCCTGTGTTTTTTAATTTCCGTTCCTCCTCCTTTCCCAGCCCTTCTGGACTTTGTCCTTGGGTAAATGCTGCCCTTTTTATTTCTAGCGGTTGACCAGTCTACGGTCTGCATAACTCACTAGTGTTGTTGTCCCTGTACCTGTCTGTTGCTTGGCTGAAAATTGAGCCACGGAGGTGAGTTCAGTTCCATCTATAGATGACCAAGGGCCATAGTCTCAGGGTCTCACCAGACTCTTATCTGAACAGTTAGCCTGTTTTTTTGTTTGTTTGTTTGTTTTATGATTTTGCATTTTGTTCCACATTTTCTCTCACTCTATCCAGCACCTTCTAATGTGATCCCTTTCAGAGTACTTGGTAGTGGCAGCTGGGCACCATCCAGTCTTCTGGTCTCAAGGTTGTGGAGACTGATGTTCATGTGGTTTGTTAGTCCATTTCACTAATTATTTCCAATAATTATTTCTTCAGTTTTTATCACTCTTCTTGGGAGGAGACCAATGCTTGCACATTAGATAGCCACTCACGAGCTTTGAGACCCGTCACTAGTCACCAAAGTAGGATGTAGAACATTGTTTTTGTGGACTATGTGATGCCAATTGAGTGAGATGTCCCCCAAGACTAGAAGTTATTTTTGTACTTAGATTGGTGGTGGTGGTGGTTATGTGCTGTGGAGCTGGTTCCAACTCATAGTGACCCTGTACAGGGTTTCCGAGGCTGTAAATCTTTACAGGAGCAGAAAGCCTCATCTTTCTTTTGCGGAACTGCTGGTAGTTTTGAACTGCTGACCTTGAGGTTAGCAGCCCGATTCGTAACCACTACGCTACCAGAACTCCACTATTAGAGATAGCTTTTTATTAACAAAATAAAAACATAGGGTAGTTTAACTTAAGGAGCTCTGGTAGCGTAGTGGTTACAAATTGGGCTGCTAACCTCAAGGTCAGCAGTTCAAAACTACCAGCTGCTTCACGGGAGAAAGATGAGGCTTTCTACTCTTGTAAAGATTTACAGCCTCGGAAACCCCGTACAGGGTCGCTATGGGTCGGAACCGACTCGACGGCACTTAACAACAACAAGTTTAATTTAGTTTTCTATGTTCTTGAAAATCTTGAACATCATTTTTCTGCCTCCTGCTCTCACTCCCAGGATTGGTCATTTGTGACACTTTCTTTCTTCCCATCACTTAGAGTACTCCTTCACAGTGTCTTCATCCTTCCTGTATTTTTAAGATTTGGAAATGGTTTTAGTGTAGGTAACAGCTCCTTGAGGAAAGTATTTACCTCCTTGGACACACATGTGAGGATGTTGTTGTTGTTGTTAAATGCCATCAAGTTGGTTTTGACTCATAATGACCCTGTATAGGATTTCCAAGGCTGTAAATCTTTGCGAGAGCAAAAAGCCTTACTTTTCTCCCAGAGTGACTGTAACTCTGTGCTTATCCTATAGAACCACCACACACCTCATTATTCATGGCCAGAATAATATTGAGAGCAGGATATAGATAGGGTATGAAATGTCTCATTTTGGAACAAGTTCATATTTATTGATCCCAAATTAAAATTTTTTAAACGCAGCTTTCCTTTTCACCTTTCTAAGGTATTTCACGTCTCCACAGGAGAAGCTTGTGTTTCTGAGACTAGGTAGGGCTGCTTGTCTTTGAAATATCAGCTGGTGATAGATGCTCACGGAGCTGAGAAACAGAGAGACTCGGCTTGAGAATGGGTAAGAGAAATGCACAAGGCGTTAATGAATGGATGTGAGGAGACTACATCGGAAGTTCTTTCTGATGGTTGAACTGAATGGATCTTAATGTTCTGGCATTTTCCAAACTGCCCTTTTAGGATTTTCGCTTAAGAGAGTGGTTTTAAAGATGGAGACCTTAAGGTTAGGTTATGTACACCCTGTTTATTCTGGGCATGTTTTTGCATTCGTTAATCCATTCAACATGGTCACTGACCTTGAGCTCTAGATCAATGCAGAATTTAACTAGATACTTTTGAAATAGCCAAAACCCATTCGATTCAAAGAAAAGGATTGGACGATGAAGTGGCAATAACCCAGTGGAAGCCATCCCTTTCTTCTTTCCTCTTCCGTTTTTGTTTGCCTTACTTCTTCATATTCAGATCACCCTCACCATTGACAATCTTGTAGAGACATCTCCAGTTCTGAAGAACCACAGCCTTTATTGATTCCACCTCTCTGAGGTTACTTCCTGTCTTCCAGCCTCCACTATGGCTGTGGATGTTTCCAATCCACCTTTTTTCGGCTGACTCCGGACCAGTATCTTGCCCAAATGGTAGTCAGACCATTCTCAGCTCAACAACTTGAAAAAAGCTGTCATTCTGTTTCCACCATATCAGTTTGATAATGAAGGAAGGAAGGTTACTCCCAACCCATTTGACTGAAAACTAGCCTGCAAATGCTTCCAGCAGCCAGGACATGGTGGAAGATTCTTGCAGGTAGAGAGGGGCCAGCACTTCCACTGAACCTAGCATGTAGGGGCTGCATGCTTCACAATCCCTCCTCCTCTGTCTGAGGGAAATTATGGCATTGCCTCGTAGCACTGTGAAAAGGATTAAATGAGCGAACCTCAGACTGGTACTTGGTAAATGTTCATGTTCTGCTATTTCCAGTATCAACCCCTTTTCTTCCTTGCCCTCATCTAACGCTGTGACTGACCTGTCACCCTTGTGGTACTTGTCTCTTTCCTCTTTTGCTCCTCTGTGAGGTGAGGTCTCCCTGTTGCCACCATATACTGTAAAATGGGTCCCTGAGCCAGGGCACAGCCTTCCAAAGGCTCGGTCTTGTCCATTGGTGAGGTTTTGAGTCAATGAATGAATGAAGTCAGTGCACAAACCCACTCTCTGTTCCACAAAACGACCGTCAAAAAGCATCTCCAATGCCTCTTCTCTTCCCACATCTAAACCGATACCTTAAATTCATTAAAAACAAAATGTAGACAATTCAAAGCAGAGTCCTAAAAATGACAGGTTTCCAGAAAGCCACTTATCTGCAAAATGTCAAAATCCTTCACAAGGGCTTAGCAAGATGACTGGCATAATGTCACAGTTGAGTGTGGCAAGCTGGCAGCTGCTGCCTACTCATTGTGGAAACAGAGCAGGCACGTGGGAAGCTGATGCACCCTAATGAGAAGGGGGGAGTTAGGGTAGCCTAGCAGTGCCGCCGAGGAGAAAGGATCGGTGATGGTACACTTGAGACAAACCGCTCCCGACAAGTGCTGGCTTTGTACACTTAGCCCTTCGTTACAAATGCAGGAACGAGAGACATGACCCCAAGCAGACAATTCTTCCGTTAAGCAGCGTTCTTAGTGTGAAGTGTTGGATTCAGGCAGTTTTTGGATTGTAAGGTCTAATGCTATTTTCAGAATCTCAAAGTAGTGTGTGAGTATGTGAATTTTTCTTCCATTTGGTTTTATTTTACTTTATAATCAGTGTTGGCTGATCAGCATGTTGTTGTTGTTGTTAGGTGCTGTAGAGTCGGTTCCAACCCATAGCGACCCTGTACAGGGTTTCCAAGGCTGTAAATCTTTATAGGAGCAGAAAGCCTCATCTTTCTTCTGAGGAGCAGCTGGTAGTTTTGAACTGCTGACCTTAAGGTTCACAGCCTGATTCATAACCAATAGGCTGAGGAAAATAAAAACAACTCTTACCCAAGCCCCTTTACAAGTATAAGAAACACTAACACTGCCGTTTCAGGAAAAACTGTGTTCCAGCTATAAGACAGTCACATATGGCAGCCCAGAGTACTCAGCTTGGAGTAACGATGCTCTGAGATGGGTATTTTCCCTCAGGTGGAAGTTAAGGGTGGAGCAGGATTGGAGGTTCTTATTTCAATTGCTCTGCTCCTCTGTCCCCTGCACCCCAACACAGTGATTACTAGAACAGTTGAGAATCATTAATCCAAGGGTAAGCACTGGATTGATAGCTGAAAGGTTGATGGTTCAAACCCACCAAATGCTCCTTGAAAATCCTATAAAAGTCGCTATGAGTCGGAACCAACTTGACTGCATTTAACAACAATAATCCAAGGAAATGAGGCTTTAAACTTTTTTAGGGGGATAGAATTAAACACATCTGCACAGGGAGATTAGTCTCGCTGTACAATGTTTATTGCTCCAATTATTTTTAGAAACTGAGCTCTTTATTAAATACAAGTATAATTCACTTGGCTGGAAGCATGATAAAAACCAGAATTGGGTTTGCATCTGCTGACCTGGGTTCCTAACTTCTCTTACCATTCACATAGGCCGGGCATAGGGGAAGTTCTAAGTGCTGAGTGGAGCCCATAAACTAATCACATCTGTGCAATGAGAACAGCTAATAGACGTACAAAGATAGGGTGCAATAGGCAAAAAAAAAAAAAAAAAAAAAAACAATAAACAAAAAGAACTCAATTTGAATAGTGGTAAACAGTTCCATTTAGAAATTTTCAATGCACAAAAATAGATAGGGGAAATTGGCTTAGTTCACATCAAAGAGGAAAACGCCATGAGGCAGACCGAGTGGGAAAAAGAGCCTTGATTTTAGTTGCCCAGGATCACCCATGCCTGTCCTCTCTGCCTTCTGACTGTGCCATGGAGTGTCACAGGGGTAACTCACGCATCAGGACACGGTCGACCTGCTTAGTGCTTGGTGACCGTCTTCTCTGTGCCTGGTTCTTCCCCCCACCACCCAGGCTGCTGTGAGCTTCAGTGTTGCATTTGCTCTGCTCATGTGCCTTGGCACACTGCACGACAGCTGTGTTAATAGCAGGAGAGCTCTGGTAGCGTAGTGGTTACGAATCGGGCTGCGAACCTTAAGGTCAGCGGTTCGAAACTACCAGCTGCTCCGCGGGAGAAAGATGAGGCTTTCTACTCCCGTAAAGATTTACACCCTCGGAAACCCTATACAGGGTCGCTATGGGTCGGAACCGACTCGATGGCACTTAACAACAACAACAACATTCAACATGGTTTTCAAACGAGTACTAGTCAAGTATGGGATAAAAGCATCTTATATTTAAGATCAGGCTTTCTACTCCCGTAAAGATTTACATCCTCAGAAACCCTGTACAGGGTCGCTATGGGTCGGAACAGACTCGACGGCACTTAACAACAGCAATATTTATGAAACAAGAAGTTCATTTACTTCTAATTTGCTCTCTTTCAGGCTATTCTCATGGATCACAACTGCCCCATTAAAACAAAAATGTACACCCAGAACAACATCCAGTCCTATCCAATAGGTGATGAGGAAGAGTCTGAAAGTGACTGAGAACCTCCAAGTCATCAAAGTATTTCATCGTATAAAACAGTGTTTCCAGTGAAATGACATATCCAACCTTAGTCAGACTCATCTGTCCCTTGTGAAAGTGTAAAGCAACCCAAAGTTCTTTTCTCATGGTTATGATCAATTGCTAACAGCCTTATAAGATAAAGAAGCTTTCCCCAGGGGTTTGTATAGTGTTGGCAACTTTATTTTATGTATTTGGCTTTTATTAAATATTTGACAATATATTTTGATGAAACAGGCATAGTGTAAATCTATAAATATTTGAATCCAAATATAATTTTTTAACTTACGTTCACAAACACTTGGCCAAAAAAAATTCTTTTTATTTTTTGTTTCTGAATATTGGTAATGAGTGTTTAAAACTAAAGCACACATTCACTCCGAGACTCTTCCAACAATGAGAAGCCAGGAGGATGTCTAGAAGACAGAATCAAGGAAGACAGCATATGATATGATGATATGTGCTGGTGTTAAGTGTCGCTGAGTCGGTTCCGACTCATAGCGACCCGTGTATAGGGTTTCCAAGGAACACCTGGTGAGTTTGAACTGCTGACCTTGTAGTTCAAACTGACCTTGTGGTCCAGTGCTTTGGCCCACAGTGCCACACAGTTGCTTTGAATGAGTGCTACATTATTTAACTTGTAATTATGATCAAAGTATTTAAGAGCTAGCTATCTCAAGTGCAGAGGGTGTGGACTTGAGCCTGTCTCTTAGGACTTACCCATAAATGTTAGCTGGCATCAGCTTTCTGTGTACTCACCTACCTGTAAACAGATGGTTATCAATTAAGTTTACTTGTCATGTGGTTGACAGGAAACATTAAAACTAATAAAACCTAATTAAGAGCACCCAAACATATCATTATGAACTAGAAGCATTCCCTTTAAGCATACTAGATTGTCTTGTTTGATGAAATTAAATCGAGGGCGTAATGTACCTTACACTGCTGAAGTTGCGTATGCGTGGTGACATAAACCAAGGTCCAGGTCCAGTTTTAGATCTATGGTGTGCGAAATCAGGCTGTACTAACTTTGCAGGACATGTGTTTAGTTCTAGAGATTAATTTTGGGTTGTCTCAAACTCGTTTTCTAGACTTCTGAAAGTTGTTTACATCAATGTGAAACTGTTTTAAATGAAGGAATGAAATGGTTGAATTGCATGCTATGAATATAGGTAAAAATAAAAGGGGGGTTAGGACACAGCCCCTTTAACAGACAGTAAAGGAAAACCAAACATCTACAAACGTGCATGCGTTCATGTATCATCTTGTGCTGTTGTTTTTTTAAAGCATGCCCTCTTGATGCACCTTTTCAATGTAACAGCAAATACTAGTGACAATTGTAAGTTTACATAGTTTTTTAAGTCTGTTTGGGGTGTAATCGTAAACAGAAATTACCTAGTCTGCTCTTTGCTAAACTAAAATTGTAAAAACAGTAGTTCACTTGGACATCAAGGAGAAAACACGTTCAAACAGATCGTCATGACTATGCCTTATTCTCTAGGAAAGCAGCGAATACTTTATTTCCATTTGCTTTATGACTCCCTCTGATGATTCAAAGTCTGGTTTCCAAGTGCAGTGTGTTCAAAGCCAGCCGGATTCGTATTTAATTACTTGCACTGAGCAACCTATACAATCTGCTGTTTTGGAAGGCAGTTCTGGAGATACTTACATGGCTAAAAAAAGACAGGATTAATCTCTACTTCTATAGGAGTGGTTTCAAAAAGAATGTTATAAGCTCATTCTCTTGGAGGGTTGGGGGTTCCCCTACCACCTCCTATCATGTGATTCATTCTTAATTTCTTTGTGCCTTTCAAGCTTTAGTTTCTTTAAGAATGACTGTCAAAGGCAGGTCTGTTATTGATCCCTAGGGAATAACATGATGTTTTCCAAAACTGTTTTGAGAGCAAAAAAGATCAGTTCTAAGGGGGTTAAAAAAGAGAGGTGGTAATAAGGTCTCTGCGACTAATATTTTGGGGTTAGCTAGACTATGGAAAGAGTTTTAAAAACATTATGTATCAGAATATACAGTGCTCTGAACATCTTATTTTTTGAACAGAGGTGTCTTTTGTTTCTACATGGTTAATACAAACACAGGTAGTCCCTAACTTACGACAGGATTCCATTCCAAAGACTCCGTGAGACAAACACCTTTTTTGTTTTACGTTTTATTGCCTTTTTATCAGTATCTTTATAAATCCAATCTTTGAACATCTGTTAAGTGAACACTTAAGGAGGCTAACATCAGAAAATCACTTGCTGCAACACTGTATGTAGTATTTACTACTAACAATAAGATGTTAATAATTTTAAAAAATCCTAAGTGTGGCTTGTCATAACTCAAATACATCCCAAGTCAGGGACTACCTGTACAAATTAGAATCAGGTTTTCTTTGGACTGTGAAGTCTATCTGTCCACGTCATGTTTTAGCTAGTTTACTTAATAAATGATTCTGAACATTGTACTGTGCCTGCTTATGTTCCTTTATAAACAAGACATTGCTGTAAGTTGTAACAAAGTATCATTTTGACAGGGCATGTTTAAATAAAAACTATTTCCTGCCTGCCGATACCAGGTAAAATCGATTCCAGGTTAGTATGAACCATGCCTTTTGGCACAAAATTATGTTAAACTATTTAACTAGCCACTTTGCACCAATGTGGAAAAACTCAGTTCTAAGTCTATCCTTGCTAACTCTACTGCCCTGATTTCTTTGATGAAAATAACTACTATTGGACAGTGGTGTGTAACTTGGGACCATAGAGGTTCAGTAAAAGTCTTGAAATTCGGGATGTTTTGAAGGGCATGCAGGGGTGAGGGTCCACAGCTTTTGTCTAATCTCAAAGGGGACTGAGGACTCAAAACGGGATTATAAGAGCTCCCTCCTGTTTCTAAAGGTATCATCTTAACTTGAATTTGATGAGCGTATTTTCCCTGATTTTGCAGGCTTCCCACCTATGACCCAGTAGCCTTTCCACTTTTCTATTGTACTCTATTAGTAGAAAGTATTTGAACTTTCCTTCTCGGATAGGCTTCTGCCTTATACAGGTTCCGGGTTTTAAGTTGCCTTTATACAAATCCAGATATTCTTGTGAATTTGGAAACTGACAGCACCTCCAAGACTTTTAGCTTATAGTTTCCCCTCTCAGAACCACAAAATAGTGATAAAATTGCAAGGTTAATAGAAGGGTTGATCATAAGAAATGTAGCATACTGACTGCAAAATCATGCTCAGGTATTGTCTAATCCAATGAATCATCTAAATATCAAGGCAGAAAATGCATTTGAAAAAGCCTAATTTGAAATAAAAACTTAAGTCTATAGAGAAAGCAAAGCCCCATGAAACCAAACTCATTACTGCTAACTTGATTCTGGCTCATAGCAACTCTCCAAGCAGAGGGAATCTGAGATGGGAAATCTTCATGGAAGCAGCCAACCTCATCTTTCTCCCACGGAACCATTGGTGGCTTCCAACAGCTGTCCCTTCTGTTAGTAGCCCAACACTTAACCCACTTTCACAGACACACAAGAAGGGATTCTGACATCAAAACGGCTGTCAAGAGTTGAACAGATTTCAAAGGGCAAGCCAAGATGGCAGTTAAATATAATAAAATGTGTAAAGATCTGGAGTTAGAAAACCCAAAGGTATGAATAAACTCGGCATTTCTCAAGCTGTAAGTACTAAGAAAAAATTTGTCTTGAGTTGCAGTGTTGGACTATACGAGCAAAACATTGACATAGGAAGCCTCCAAAGATGGAATACAGAGTCACCGGACCAAAAAGAATTAACCAGTTGACAGTCAATCATTTCATGAGGCAACATGTAGTCAAGAACTGATGGTACCGAAGAAATCCAAGATGCAAAGAAGGCAGTGGTGAAAATAAAAAGAAATTGACGGAATACTGGTTGATGGGTTTCAACAAATTGGTGCAATGCTGGAAGCGTTGACTTGTTTATGCCAAGAAATCTGGAAAACAGCTGCCTGGCCAGCTGACTGGAATAGATCCATTGGAATGTGGATATGATCAAATATCATTAATACCACATGCAAGCAAAATTTTGCAGAAGATAATTCATAAACCATTGCAGCAGTAACACTGGCAGGGAACTTCCAGAAGTTCAAGCCAGATTCAGAAGAGGACATGGAACGAGGGTATCATTGATATCACATAGATCATGCTGAAGGTAGAGAATACTTGTGTTTTATTAATACACATTCAACTATGTGGATCACAAATTATACATAACATTGTTAAGGACGGGAATTCCAGAGAACAGCCCTCATGAGGAACCTGTACATATTCTGTTGGGAAGTGCTGCTGAGTAGGCGCCGACTCATAGCGACCCTGCATAGGGTTTCTGATGAGTGGCTGGTGGGTTTGAATCACTGACCTTGTGGTTGGCAGTCCAGTGCACATCCTACAGCGCCACACCAGGACTAAGAGTTCCTCAAACAGAACAGAAGGCTATTGCTGTTGCACAGATAGAAGCTGTGTATCAGCGTAGTATCCTTTCACTATAATTACTTAATCTATATGCCAAGCAAACAATTCAAGAAGCTTGCAGGTAACACATAACACTGAAAACAGAATTTGAAGGCCTTACTAAAACTCATGAAGATCAAAGACTACACCTCAGAGAAAACAAATATCCTCACAACTGGACCAATAAACACCACCATGATAAAAGAGAAAAGATGGATGTTGTCAAGGATTTCATTTTATTTGGATCCACAATCAACTCTATGGAAGCAGCAGGCAGGAAATCAAACTTCTGTATTGCCCTGAACAAATCTGCTGCGAACGATTTCAGTGCTCAAAAGCAGGATGCCACTTTGAAGACTCAGGTGCACCTAATCTATGCCATAGTATTGTCAATTGTATCATATCTATGCAAAACCTGGACAACGAATATGGAAGAATTAATGCAATTTTAGGGTTCGCAAAGGCTTCTGAATATACTATGGATTGCCAGAGAATGAACAAACCTGTCTTGAAGGAGAAGCAAACAGAATGCTCCTTAGAAGTGAGGGGGGCAAGACTCTGCCTCCTGGCCTTTGGACATGTTGTCAGGAGGGATCAATCCCTGGAGAAGGAATCATGCTTGGTGGCGGGTCAGTAAAAAAGAGGAAGCCCTTCTGTGAGATGGACTGACACAGTGGCTGCAACAGTGGGCTCAGAGACCACCACCTGTGGGGACGGTACAGCACTGGGCAGTGCCTCACTCTGCTGTGCACAGCGTTGCTATGAGTTGGAATTCACCCGATGGCACCTAACTACAATCACTGTATATAACAGAGGCAAAACCATAAATCCATTATTTCATAGGTGAGAAACCAGTGAAAAAAAGTGGTGCTTTTAGTCCGTTTGCCCAATAGCAATTTTGTTTAGCAAAAGTTGTTTAGTTTCTTTGCATGGCAAAATTATACCAGGTGATATTTCCAGAGATAAGCAATAGCCATCTTTTTCTAGAAGTCATCAAAATGAAGATAATTCTAGTTTTCTGCGGTAGTCTTTATTATTTTTTTTAAAGCTATTGATAACATAGCATGGCAGCAAGATTACATCAGGAATGTAATATATTACAAATTTTTCATTGAATCCTTCTATCTTATTACACCTTGGGCTATTTGAGAGTTCTCTCCTGGCACTAACATACAGCTGTGATGCCTCTAGCCACCTCTGCCCAGCATATACAAAAATATTGCACTACATTAAATGTGTATTTTACAAATATCATTAGCAGCATTACTGAATCTTCCATAATTGTGGTTCTACAGCATTAAATAACTTAAAAACATAAGTAGATTATTATGAAACCCAAGTTTTTGCATTTCTACAGCTCTTTCAAATGCATCTGTTTCAGCATGGTTCTTGACTGTTATTGAAATTTCCATTGGGTAATCCATAGGCACCAGCCACTTACAGACACTCCAGCCTCCAGGATATCAATGGTAAGTTACTTTATATGATAACATGAAACTTGCGGATTGTTTCAAGCATATATTATGGAACAATAATATTTCAGCTTTAGGAGAATTTGGTGTCAAGTCTTCTGTATCTTTTAAAATGCACATGTTTAAATCAACAGCAAAAAAAGAGGGTACACACACACATGTTTGCTATAAACTTGGCCAAGAAGGGTACTCAGTGTTCTTATATTTCGTTAATAAAATCACAATAGGGATGAGAGTTGGCTATTGACTTTAAGAGGAAATAAATTAGAAATCTCAAAAAAAAAAAAAAAAAAAAATTTTTTTTTTTTTTTAACCTACATAAATAACTTCGATTTGGATCGCTTTTTACATTTCAGAGCATTTTTGCAACTATGCTGTCGTTTTCCTCACAACCATAGTATGAGGTCGTGAGCGTAGGTATTGTTTTCATTTTAGAGATGGGGAGACTGCTACACAAAGCCTCTTCCTGATTTACCTTTGGCTACAGAGTTAATGAAAGAACTGAACCTAAAACCCATGTATGTTTAAGAAAGCCATCCTGGCCTATACACCCGGGCCAGAACCCTTAATATCAGACTACACCTTTTCTTGCCAGCAATAAAAGCCATTCCATCTAGTTTTAAATCCATCCCAATTCCACTAGATGTCAATGATCATAGTAGTTACTTATAAAAGGGAAAAAAGATAATCATGTATATTTTACAGGCATATAAAATGTCCAAAATTTTACCAAGAGAAGCCATGCCAAAGCATTTGCCACCAGTCATGTAACACTGGGACCAATGGTCGCAGAGTCATAGTACAAGGGAAAGTAAAAAAATATTGCCACTACGGTTCCAGCTCTCTCTCTCTCTCACACACACACAGGTTTATTCCTAACACAACGTGCTTAGACATGTCTGTGACCCATGGATGGTTGCAGACACGTTCTCTCAGGAAGACCCTGGTCTCAGTCTCCTTACAGGACCTTCAGTAAAAGAGGATACATTTTGTGCTATGGGGAAAAAATGATTTTGAGGTCAGGGACAATATCAAATTTTTAACAAAACTCAAGTGGATTATCTTCCTAACTCACTGAAGCTTTGCAACAAGTTTACAGGAATGCTGCCCCATAGAAAACAAGTTTGAAGATGGACAAGGTCAGGAAGACCTCAAGCTGAGATGAAGGCCTTTAAAGAGGTCAGCTCCTGTTCCCCTGACTGTTCTTGGAATGCAAAGGGGGTAATCTTGATAGAGTTTCTTCCAGGACACGTGGCCATCAGGAGGGCTTATTAGAAGTTGAAACAGCCTCAGCCTAGATCCCTGATCTTGCAATTTCAGACTTCTTTTTGTTCCCAGAATATTGAAAGGAAATACATTTTGAGTTCTTGGGGATGCCAAAACTGTTATTTTGGTGTGAAAATCAAAAAGCCCCGAATTAGTAGGGGGAAGGGTAGTGATCTAGACACCCTGCCCTCAGAAGTATATACATTTTGAGGGAAGATCAAGAACAGCTATTGTTTTGCTAACTTTTGTTTAATAAAGGTTTCTATGATTTTGTAGGAATACTTTTTGACTTACCCTTGTTACCTTCATTGTCAAGAACTAGTCCCAATTCCTATGCATCCACACTAGTTTTAGTTACTTATCTTTCTTTTTTAATAAGCGCACAGTCTGAACTACTCAAGTATTCAGGGTGATCCGCATCCCTCTCAGCGTGGACGCAACACATCAGAAGCAGTGGTAACCCTTCACCCCAGTCCTGTATGAAAAGGTGTCCTAAACAAAACCAGTGCTCCTCTGAAACTATACGTATCCTTGCACATGCTTTATTTCCTATGGGAGAGCTGAAGATAAAAAAGTAATTTAAAAATGTTTAGCACTTGCATTGAAAAGGAAAGTAACTACAGTTGGAAAGTATCTCAAAATCCTACTTACTTACAGTAATTCAATCTTGGTATCTTCTCTATAAACTTCCTGACCAACTGCATTCTCTATTGACTACCCATTATGGCCCATGACATTGTTTTTCAATGCAAACTCTTCAAATGAATCAGTATATTCCTACTATACGCCCAACTGCACAAAAACTTTACAAAAAAAGTTTCCACAGCATAGAAAGCAACAACAACAACAACAACAAAAACAAAAACTTTTTTTTTTTTTTACTAAATCAGCATAACAAACTAAAGCTGCAGCATGTCACATTTGGCAAAAAACCAACATAAAAAACGAAAGAAAATCAACAGAAAGAATCCCAATTCACCCCCACCACCCGCCCAAAAAAAAAAAAAAAGTCTCAAGCAGGAAGAAATGACAAACTTTGTAACAAAAGAAAAATTCAAACCTGTTCCCTCAATGATTGCTGTCATTAATTTAGACATGCAACAATTTTGGTGTTGTAACAGTGATGGAAATGAAAATCTCTCAAGAATCTGGAAAGCATCATATTTAGCACTAATTCAACAACCAAGAGGAAGGAATATAATAACGAGACATCACATGTACATAAACATGGAAACCTATAGTTTACATATTAAGTTAAAAATAAATTAGTAAAAACAAATTCCCAGAATAAACCCAAAAAAGCATAGCTATATAAATGCATTCTGAAACAACCAATTTAATGAGCTGGACATGTTTTTGCTGGAAAATCACCTTTCATTCTTTTTCTTATATAAGCAAACCACCGTGGAGACGCAGGTCTAAGTAATACACCAGAGGAGGGCTGAAATGTGGTTGTATCTGTGGGATGTTAGGTGCAGCTTTGCCCCAATCACTTCAAAGTTTAAACAGACTGCCTGCTACACAGATTCGGAAGCGCCAAACAAGTCATCTGACAGGCCGCTGAATGGTGGCGAATCGATTAGTTGGCTTATTTCATTGTCAAGATCTTCTTCTGTGTCATCCGTGTACTTGTTCATTTTTTGGGGGTGCTGGTCTAAAGACAAAGTTTCTAACGATTCCATATCTTCAATGCCTGCTCTGTAGTGGATCATAAGAAGTGTTAGAGCTTGCAGTCTCTCCCCTGATTTAGCCAAAGCAGCAGAAAGAAGCAATTTTTTCCTCGAATCAGTTGTCTCTTTTTCTTCCCTAACCAAGGAATTATTCTGTTCCAATTCTTGATCAATTTCAGTTTGTAGCTTATCCAACATGAACTCTAGTTTCTGAATCCTTTCCTCCGTTGGCAAGCCCCTATACAGATCACGACCAACTTCCTTCACCGCAATGAACACGCTGTCATCCAGTCCACCCTCCTTTCTTACTAACTTTATTCCGGCAGGGTTTCTCCGTTTAGAGGGACTGTGGGGCCCACACACCTCTGTGTCACTGCCTTCATTGTCTGACGTGTTGGGTGTCTGTTTTGGTGAAGGCTCTACTAGGTCAGTTCCTGGATCCACAAGGCAAGTTTTGGAGACTTGCCGCAAATTTAACAACCGAGAGCTAGTGTTGAGAATATGCCTGGTCAAACCTGTCATTTTATTGACTGACTTGCTAGCATCAGCGTCGACTCGAGGAGGCAAGCCTAAGAGTGCCTCCTGTCCTTCCAGCCTGTCAGTGGCCCCACAAAGAGGAGTCTCAGTTAGACACTTTTCTTGACATTTTTTGTGGCAAACATAAGCACAAAACATACACTGGGAAGCGGCTTTAGTCCACACTTTTTTCTTACAGTAATCACACCACGTTGGGTTCTGGAACTGAGTATCTTGGAAACTATGTTTATTTTCTGCTAAACCCACCTGTCCAACAAAATGGTCCTCTTTAGGTGGGGCAGAAACCTCTTCAACCAAATGAAGCTCTTTTTCTTTCTCTAAATTACTAACTGTATGGTGGTCTGGTTCACCTTCTTTCAAATACTTAAAGTGAATAGTAATGTCACCAAAGCAAAATTTGTCATTGAATCCCTTTTGTATACTGAGATTGCGTAGGGCGGTTCTAGTGACCATTGCCTTAGGTGTTGGGGCTTCCAATTGGAATTTTGAAAGGTATTCCATGTTGGATGTAGCTAAGCATCCTAAAGCTACCTCTTCAAGTTTTAAACTAACGTGCCCCAAACAGATGAGGCCCCCCAACTTGAAAGGGTCCCTGCACCACAGAGCAATGTTTAAGTACCTGTGGCAGGCTTCTATATCAAAGATGCAAGTGGCTCTGGTTCGTGTCCATTTTCCTAGCTTATTTCGATAACGAATTTCTGATGATTCCCAAGTTTGAGGATCATCTGAACTATCCTTAGTAAGGTAGGGACTTTCTGCAGCCGCATCTTTAGCAACTTCTTGCTTGACTAAAAATGGCTTCAAAGCAGTTGCCTCTTCTAGGTGATCCACGTTTTTTGCTTGTTTCTCAGTGGCTTTATCTGCAGGAGGTGGAGGCGGAGGCATCTTCTCTGGCTTCTCAACAAGAACATCTACGTCAACCTGATTTGGGGAGTCAGCAGAAGACACAGGGGGCTTCACTTGTGGTCGTGGTGGCACAGGCGGTTTCAGAGAAGATCCTGGGGCCAGTTTGGACACTTGGGCTGGGTCTGCTGGCTCAGAGCTCTTCAGGGTTAACGATTTATTTCCTTCTTTGGATGCAGGTTTTGGTGGCGGCGGGTGACTTCCTACAACTAATTTACGGTTTAAAACTGGTGATACAGTTCCAAGGGGCTTGACGGAGAGTGAGGTTGGAGTACGTTTGGGACTGTGACTCACTGACTGAGCCTCGTCTTTGAACTCATTCTGCGCTCTGACATCACTGGCCAAGTCTTCAAATTCAGAATCCAGGTCTCTATTTTCAGCATCCATGGATAACCCAGATACTTCCTCTTCATAATTCTGTTGGCATGAGCCTGAGAGTAAGTTTTCCTCCAGCGACCCAAAGTGATCTTGCAGCACGGGACCTGGATGACTCTGACCCACAGGCCTCTCGTAATACACCAGGACCCGCTCCCCCGCCTGCTTGATAAGCTTCAGCACTTGCAGTGTAGATGTGATCTTCACACCTGCATCAAGGTTTTCAAAGGGAAACCATGTAAATGAAGGTGGTAAAAACAATTCCTCAGTTACTAAACACAATAGCCATTACCTCATAATTACTTACAAGTGAAACAGTAACAGGGAAGGCTTAAACCGATTTTACTTGACTGTAAAATGTATGGACTGTAAAGTGTATCGACTCAGAAACCCAGAGAGTTGTGATAGCCTCAATGGGTTTACCCTTCACACTAAATGATGACATGACGTTCCCTAGGAGAGTGCTGGGCTGACAGCTAACTGCTTCTTTCCCAAGTTAAATGACATTTATCTGTCAAAATTACTGCATAGCCATATAAAGTAAATCAGCTGCAACTATTAACTTGAAAACAAAATACTTGAGTAGGAAAAAGTTTTTGATATATTAAAAGAAATCAAGATGATTTAAAAACCACCTTATTGTTGTTAAGCTCCAATTCATAATGTCTATACACAATGGAAAGGAGCTCTGGTAGCGTAGAGGTTACGAATCGGGCTGCGAACCACAAGGTCAGCAGTTTGAAACTACCAGCTGTTCTGCGGGAGAAAGATGAGGCTTTGTGCTCCCGTAAAGACTTACAGCCTCGGAAACCCTGTAGAGGGTCGCTTTATGAGTCAGAACTGACTCCAAGGCACATATCCATCACCACTATACCCAGTGGAATTAACACTGCTCAGTCCTTCGCCATTCTCACAATAGTTGTTAAGTCTGAGCCCACTGTTGTTGTCGATGTGTCAATCCATCCCACTGAGGGTCTTCTTTTACCAAGCATGGCATTTTTCATCTGGGACTGATCCTTCCTGACAACAAGTCCAAAGTAAAGTATGACAGACAAAGTTTCACCACTGTCACATCCAACGAGCAATCCAGCTGCACTGCTTCCAAAACAGATTTGCTCATTCTTCTAGCAGTTAATGATATAGTCAATATTCTTTCGCCAACACCATAAGTCAAAGATACCAATTTTTCTCTAGTCTTCCTTGTCCATTGTTCAGCTTTCACATGCATATGAGGTGAATGAAAATGGCCAGGGTTAGGTACAACTCAGTCCTCAAAATGCCGTCTTTGCACTTTATTACTTTAAAGAGACCTTTTGCAACAGAAGTGACCAGTGCAATACATTGTTGTATTTCCAGGGGCACTGATGTGGATCCAAATAAAATGAAATCTCTGACAACTTGAACCTTTTTTCTGTTTACCATGATGTTATTTATTGGTGTAGTTGTGAGGCTTCCAATTCTTTTTAAAATGACATACAAACTGAAAGGTTGTAGTCTTTGATCTTCATCACTAAGTACTTGATGGCTTCTTCCCTTCCCGCAAGCAAAGCTGTGTCATATGCTTATCAGAGGTAGCTGAAGAGTCTTCCTCCAAACTTGATGCCACATTCTTCTTCATATAATCCAGTTCCTCCAATTATCTGCTTAGCATACACACTGAGTAAGTATGGCCAAAGGACACAACCCTGGTGCATTCCTTTGCTCATCTTTCATTCAGCATCTGCTTGGTCTGTTCAAATGACTGCCTCTTGATCTATGTCCAGGTTCCTCATAAGCGCAATGAGATGTCCTGGAATACTCATTCTGTGCAATGCTATTCATAGTTTGTTATGATCCACACAGGTGAACGGCTTTGCACAAGTAAATATCTTTCTGGTATTCTCTGCTTTTAGTCAAGATCTACCTGATGTCAGCAATGACATCCCATGTTCCACATCCTCTTCTGAATCCAGCTTGAATTTCTGACAGTTCCATGTAGATGTATTGCTGTAACCATTCTCACCAACACAATTTTACTTGCATGTGATATTAATGATTTCCACATCCCATTGGATCCCCTTTCTTTAGAATGGGCACAAATATGGATTTCTTCCAAGTGGTAGGCCAAATTTCTTGGCATAGACAAGTGAGCGGCCCCAGCACTGCATCAGTTTGGTGAAAGATTTCAGGTTGTATTCCATCAATTCCTGGAGCCTTGTTTACCCATGTCTTCAGTGCAGCTTGGACTTCCTCCTTCACTATCATCGGTTCTTAATCATATGTTACCTCTGTAAGTAGTTAAATATGGCCCAATTATTATTGCTACAGTGATTCTGTGTATTCCTACCATCTTCTTCTGATGCTTACTACGTCATTCAATATTTTGCCCATGTTGTTAAGTGACACTGAGTTGGTTCCGACTCATTGTGACCCTGTATAAGATTTCTGAGCCTGCAAATTTTGGGGGGGAGCAGAAAGTCTCACTTGGTCCTGCAGAGCAGCTGGTGGGCTTGAACCAATGACCTTGTGGTTTGCAGTCCAGTACTTATCCTACAGAGCCACTAGGCTCTCATTTTTGCCAAAAGAATCCTTCACTATACAACCCAAGGCTTGAATTTTTTCTTCAGTTCTTTCAGTTTGAACTAAGAAAACCCGTCTGGTTTTCTAACTGCAGCTCTTTGCACATTTCATTACAGTACTTGACTCTGTCTTTTCGAGTTGTCCTTTGAAATTTTCTGTTGAGCTCTTTTACTTCATTTCTTCCAGTTGCTTTAGCTTCTCTACGCTCCAGAGCAATTTCAGAATCTCTTCTGACATCCATTTTGGGCTTTTCTTTCTTGCCTTTCAACGACCATTTGCTTTCTGCATTTATGATATACTTGATATCATTCCATAACTCTTCTGATTTTGGGTCACTAATGTCCAGTGTGCATCAAATCTGTTTTTGCGATGGTCTCTACATTCAGGTGGGATTATACTGAAGTTCACATTTTGGCACTCGTGGACTTGGTTTAGATTTCCTTCAGCTTCACCCTAAACTTGCATAGGAGCAACTGACAGTCTGCCACCAGTCTGCTTTTAGCGGATTATCTTGAGTGTCTCCATCGTATTCTCCATAGTCGTAGTCGATTTGATTTCTCTGAGGTCCATCGGACAAGACCTATGTGTATAGTCGCTGTTTGTTTTTGAAAAAAGGTACTTGTAATGAAGAAGTCATTGGTCTTGCAAAGTTCTATCATGTGATCTCCAGCACTGTTTCTATCAACAAAGGCATATTTTCCATCGACTGATCCTTCCTCTTTGCTT